TCAATGGGTTGTTGACTTTTTCAACGTTTTTGGCCAAAAGTCGGGTTTGTGGTAAAACGGAACCAGTTGTTTGGACGGTTCCTAGGCAGAACAGTCCGACCGTTCGGGTCAATGGCGGTTGAAAAACCTTGCAACCGACTTTGGCTATAATCTTCCCTTTAAATTATATTTTTCATTTACTTTATATTTTACTTATCACACTTAATTGTTGTTTGTCTATTGTATTATTTGACTCAAACCACTAACCCACCATCTAAAAATAAAAATTATTTGATTTCTAGGTTGACATTAAATTTTGTATTACATTTCCATCACTGATAAAATTATTTATTCTATATAAAAATTATTTTTTTTTGCAATATAATGAATGCACAATTTTAGAGATGTACCCAATATTTTATTTTTTATAAATATATAACATTAGATATGTGCCCAAAATTTTCTCTATTTGTGAGGAGCGGATCTCAGCTCCTCCAAATGGTCGAATTGCTTGCCCACCACTAGGAGGGAAGAAAATGGTTTTGTTATCAAATTACTTTTGAAAATATTTATTTTTATACTATTAAAATTAATATTGTGGATTTAATTACAAGAATTTAATAATGAGAAATATATATCTTAAATATAAGATTTAATGAGAGAGAATAGGAAAATATTTTTATTCACAATTGGTTTTAAATTTTACACTCCATTTCCATCATTAATAAAATGATTTCTTATTTATCATACTTTTTATTGTTTAATATGTATGTTAAAAATGTTCCCAATTTTTTTTTAAATTATAATTTTTCATTTTTTCTATTTTTTAATTTTATTATTTAATCATGGCAACATGGATTGACCCATTTGACCCAAAATGATTTAATTTCTTAGCACCACCTAGATGAAAACACTATTTTTGCTAGGTAAATTTTAAAAGTATAAGCTTTTATGTTGTTGGAATTATTAATTTATTATGGATTTATTTAATAGAAGTTAATGATGAGAAGAAGCAAAAATGACTTAAATATATGATTCAACGAACATGATTGGAAGTTAATAACTTAAATATTGGATTTAATGAGAGAGAATTGAATGCATTGAATATCTTTAAATTACCTCTTTTCAACTCATTTAATATATTAAGAACTGATTACCCTAATGTCCTGATTTTTTTTATSAATAAATTTTAATATAGTGGGGTAAATTTTGTACTAAGAAAATTTCAGAAATATTCTTGAGGCCATTCGTGCCTTTTAAAGTAGTACAAATTTATGTTATTAGAATCATTAATTTATTAAGTATAAATTTAATTAATAGAACTTAACGATGAGAAGAAACAAAAATGACTTAAATATATGATTCGATGAACATGAATGCAAGTTAATAACTTAAATGTTGGATTTAATGAGAGATAATTGAATGCATTGAATATCTTTAAATTATCTCTTTTCAACTCATTTAATATCAAGAACGGATTACCCTATTTGCCCTCATTATTTATCAATAAATTTAAATATAGAGGGGTAAACCTTGTACTTAAAAAATTTCAGAAATATTCTTGAGGCCATTTTTTTGTGTGTGTGTGTGTGTGTGTATATACTTTAGACTTCTAGAGGATCTAAGTTCTGAACTCGACTCACATAAAAAGTTTGATGCAGATCTCTAATCTCCATCCTCTTAAATTACTTCCATTAAAGGACAAATTAATTTATTTATTAAAGTGAAAAAACCTTTGTTTTTTTTTTCATGGGGTTACAAGATTCCCTGGAGCAGTGGTGGAGTCAGAAAATTTCTTTTTTTTTTTTTTGGGGGGGGGGGCAAATTGAACAAGAAAATGAGATAGAAAGTAGTGGGGTTGGGGAAAATGGCGTGAAAAGGTTTGGATCTTTTTTTTAAGAAAAAAAAAATTTTTTTTTTGGGAGTTGGAGGATTGTTAAAGAGTGATTCCTTAAATTTTAGTTTAATTTTTGGGGGCCTAAGACCCACTTTATTATGTTTTTTTTTTTGGTCTAGCCTCTTCTTTGTAACCATATAAATAATGGTTTTAACAAAATGTTTGGGGGGCCAAGGACCCCCCACCAATATACTTTGCTCTGCCTCTGCTCTGGAAGCAAAATCTCTGCAAGACTCTAAAAGTATGAGAATCCATTCACACATTGGGAATATCTCCTCATGAATTTGAATTTAACATACATGTACGGAAGATATTCCTGATATTGATGTATGGTTAGATGCTATGTGTGCAAAGGAAGAGATCTGGGCTCCTCACAGTGGCCACTGGGATTTGGTGCTAGATATAGAGATGCTACCATATAAGCCACCATCAATAGGGATGACAATTTTTACCATACTTGGTGGGCACTTAGAGAGGGTTTTTTTATGGCTTGGAAGATAGATTTTGGGGGTGAGGATGGGTTTTGCAGTTTTACATTCCATATGGGTATGAGTAGGGTATGGTATTAGGCTAAGCCCAATCTTCCTTGACTTGTATATCATTGGGAAGGTGTTAAATTTAATAATATTTTGAATTTTATGTGAAGTATAATTGATATTTTATATGTATTTACATGTTTTAATTTAATAATAAAATATTTTGATGTTTATTTCATGTTATTTTATTTATTTATTATTTATATAATAAAAATAATAAGAAATTAGATATAGATTTTAAACCAAACCCACCCCACCCTCAAAGGGGTGTAGGATAGGGTCGAATAAGGAAGGTTAAGAAAAAAAAGGAAAATTTTAGGTTTTTACTCTTTAAGTGTGGGGAGTAAGGGTGAAAATGGATTGGATCATGATCTAATCCTATTTGGTCGAATTCGTATCACCCCTTGTTTGGATCTTCGGATTGGATCAAATTGGATAATAGAATTCGATTAAAAATTGGATCGGATCAGATCACCCCTATCCGATTCGATATATATTATATATTTATAAATATATATATATATATATATGCTTTTTATTTATTTATAAATATATTTTTACATTATACTTTTATAAATTTATTATATTATATATATTTTTTATAAAAATATGTATATCTATGATGAAACTAATTAAAAAACATTTATATTTTTTTGTTGTTAGTATATTTTATTTTATTTATTTTTAAAGAAAATTAGTCCAAAAATCCAACTTATCAATAATCCTATCGGATAGGATACGGACCGGGAGCTACTAGTTCTATAACAGATGGAGAGAGGGAGGTATGAGGGTTCACATAAGCGCCTCACAACAACGCCTGACAGCACATCCCAATTGAATCGTATGTTCGGAGCATCTCCAGAAAACAGTACGGAAAATGATGAGACATTATTGGAAGATGTTCTCAATGAAGGGTTGGGATGTGATGTTGGGTACTGATTTGTAGTCGAGTTATCGGGGTAAGGAAGCCGATATGGTATAGAATTTAGGGAGAATAACGGTTCAGCCCAGGGCATAGGTGTATAGAGTAGGGGTTTTTGACATTTAATGTTTATAGATCTATTATAGAATTCAGAAATTTGCATCTATACTTTTAGTAGAATTTATAAAAGGGAGAATGACTGATAACCCAGGGTCAAAATTTGTACGTCCAAAATAAAAAACTCTGCATTAAGCCTGTCTGTACTTTTCCATTTATAAACATCTTTCATTGTCTATCAGTTGTTAAGTTGTCAAAATCAGGCCAGAAGGGCATGACAGGAGGGGGAGGGATGGACAAATTGCTGATTTATTTATTGAATTTATTCAAGACTTTTTTTAACAAAAGATAATTATATAATTATAGGCTGAAAGTTACATGGGGTGATATGAGTGAGTTGCAGTGTAACTTAAACTAGCCCTTACATCATATGTAAGCAAAAGTATGGGCCATTTGATTATACTGTCTATGTACATGATCAAAAAGATAAAGGTAAAGGAGGATATTAATCCAATGAATCCACATGCCAAACTTTGCCATATTGACCAGAGTTTCATCGTCAGAATAGACCTTAAGATGAAAGATGCCATGCGTTAAGGCCACTTGGAGTCCTTTTAAGAGTGCTCGGACTTTGGCATCATAGCTGTTAATAGCCCAGCAAGGTGCTCCTTCAGCGATAGCCAGTTGTTGACTGGAATGGTTGATGAAGAACCCTCGTCCTGCATAACCATAAAACGGATCAAAACAACCATCTACGTAGAGAGAGTGCATTGTAGAAGCAGTGGGAGCTCGAATGGCTGTGGTAGAGCTTTTGGTTCTTCGTATTGGAACTGAGCCACCATGTTGACCACCTGTTCTCGAATATTATTATTATTATTATTTTTTATTTCTGGCTTTCCATATATGGTAGCTTAGAATGCTGAAGCGGCTATTTAAGGCTTGCTGTTTACCAAAGTGAGTAGATAATTTTCAAGAAACCACTCCTTTATAATCTGATGCAAGGGTTGCATTGGCAGGGCTGATGGATTTAGCCCGATTTGAACTTCGCACCAAACTGTTCTAGCAAAGGAGCACTGAATAAAGAAAAGATGATGGGCTATCTCAACTTGTGACTTGCAAAAAACACATAATTGATCCGACTCGCGTAACCAAGTACAGCACTTACTCTTAGTTATTAAACCTTTTCACACTAGTTTCCATAAAAATAGCTGGAACTGGGAGTTTGAGCTTCTATATGAGTTTCCAGTCAAAGAATGTGGTCTACGAGGAGCATTCTTGAGAGATAAAGAGCCGGTAGCCTGACTTAACAGTATAGTTCCCCGAGGAGTTACCTTCCCAGATCAGGGTGTCATGGGAGGAGTTTGGCTCTGGTATGATGCTTTATAGTTGAATCTTGGAAAAGCTACTTTAGCTTGTTAAAATCCCAAGCCATTTGGGTTTAGGAGGTCAGTGACTAACCAAGTTGATAGATAACGGCTGATGTCCGATAAGGGTGGGGACCCGGGGATCAAAGTTGCATAAATAAAGTTCCCATGTAGTTTGAAGGCGTGTTACCACCATCTATAACTTTGGTGACTTTTCTTAGCTTTGATTTGACAACTCCAAATAATTGAGGCAGAAATTAGCAGTTAGAAAATATGGTTGTTCATGGCATTTATTAATCGAAGACCTAGACCTCCGAAATTTTTTCCAGGAAATTGTGTGACTAGAGGCTTTGGCAGAATTTCCCCACCAAAATATTCTTATGATTTTCTCCAGCTTCATCGAAGTTGATTGTGGGAAGATTTCTGCGGTCATGGTGTAGACTTTGAAACTTCTTCGTCGACTTTGAAGCTTTCCTATACTCCATTATTGTTACAGATCAGTCCGGATGAGCTGCAGACGCAGTAAACCCACGTCTCTACAAATAAAATGCTTCTCCGTCTCTTTAATTTGGTACCTGCGCCTGCTTTGAATTCCTCTCCTGGTTTGGTTTTCAGGGTCTGCAGCAGCGGAGTCCATTGTAATTTGTAAACTAGACTGATCAGGAGATGGATGGGAGTCGAAGTGATTCAACTAATATTTCCAGCGTTGCTTCGTCTTCCGGTGGCAACGGAACAGGCCACGACAACACCCCGTCTTCTGGGGAAGTTCTGTTACACGGCAAGCTGGATATATGCATAGTGGAGGCGCAAAACCTTCCCGGGAGTCGTCGGCTTCATAGGAAGTCTCTGGATAAGGTTCATGATATAAGAGCAAAGTGTGAAAAATTCCTGCGCAACCGTGAACCTTCTTCCTTCAAGGAACTTGGGCGGAAAATGCTGGGTGCATTGGAAAAGCGCATACCTCACTCAAGCGAACCATTTGTTTCAATTTGTCTATCTAATGCCAAAATTGGCAGAACTCGTGTGATTAGAAATAGTAGAGACCCTGTCTGGAAGCAGAATTTTAGTGTTCTGGTTGCACATTACGCGTCAGAGGTGCGTTTCGAAGTGAAGAACCACGACATCATAGGTGCCGAGATGACAGGGGCCGTTGAAATTCAGGTAGCAGAAATTTATTCAGGACATCTAGGCAAGGTGGAGGGGAATTTTACGGTCGCCAAAAACGGAAAAAAGACTGGGGCTGAGCTACGCATTCTAATTCAGTACACCCCAGTAGAGCGCCTGAACCTTTACAATCTGGGTCCTCATTTCCCAGGGATTGAAGGTGCATACTTCCCTCTCAGGAAGGGTGGAATTGTCAAGCTTTATCAAGATGCCCATGTTCCAGACGGTTATCTTCCGGAACTGAAGCTCGATGATGGATTGCAGTACGAGCATGGCAAGTGTTGGCAGGACATCTCTGAGGCGATTGACAAAGCTAAACATCTAATATACATTGCTGGGTGGTCAGTATACCGATTTGTAAGATTGCAGAGAGAGTCCAACAACCAGCAGACACTGGGGGAGCTCCTCTTACGCAGGTCAAGAGAGCGTGTAAGAGTGGCGATATTGGCGTGGGATGATCCTTCTTCATGGCATATCTTCGGTTTTAATACGGTAAGTAATAGGAGAAAACATTACCTGTACCTGTCGCAGATAAATCCAGCGACCCGCCGACCCCAGCACCACCGTTAGAAATTAAATGAAGACCGCGTTCTGTGAACCCGTAGGAAGCAGAAATGGCTACGTTCTCGGGAAGAATAAAACGTAACGTTAACGGGACTTTAGCCGTCAACACAGAAAAACAAGTTTCCTCCCTCCATTTTTTTCATTCTCCTCCACCGAACTTAGCACAGCAGCCTCCACCGGCATCCTCACTCCACACCGGCGTCCGTAAACGCGAAAGCCACCAGTGGCGAGAGAGGTATCAAGGTCGAAGAACTGCTCACACCAGCCCCTGTTTCACTGAAGAAGAAAAAGAAGAAGGGGGGGCCTGAGAGCGGACGCTGGACGTCGGACGCCGGATGATATCCCTCTCTCCCGGTGGCTTCCGCGTTTACGATCGCCGGTATGGAGTGAGGACACGGGCGAATGCTGTGTGCTTGGATCGGTGGAGGAGAATGAAAAAAATCGGAGAGAGTTCGAAATGAGGACAACCCAAGGGTTCACAGAACGCAGATGGTGTGCCGGTCGCTTAATTGTTCTGCAATCGTCAGTTTTCTTTTTTATTTTTTTCTTTATAAAATACATACAGTTATCCCTGATACTTACGCTAGGTGATATCCTCACAAGAATTCGGATTCGTCCCCATGAATAATATATATATCAATGTGACACATTCATTTCCAATGCACGGATGATGTGAGGATGGTTGCGTGAGGATGAAATTCAAATTCTCCTAACAGAATTGGTCATTACACCCACCTGTGTTCCCAGTGAGATCAAATCAGCCCTTCACAAGGCTGCCCCCACAATGTTTCGCAGCACATCCTCGCCATGTAGTGGGAACATCTCCTGATGATAGTAGCAGAAATAATAATGTCATCATTGGGAGATGTTCTTAATAAATGGCGGGAATGTGTCGTGGGACTTTTGGGGGGGGGGGGGGCAGTCTTGTGGGAGGCTGATTTGAACTCGATCCCATTGGGGCTAAGATCTTCTATGGACGACTTATTCCCACATCTCTGCCCATGAAACATTTAATCTGTGCATTGGGAACAGACCTGTTCATGGGTTGGGTAGCTTGATGGCCCGGCCCGGCCCGGCCCACACCCCGGTTGGGCTTGGTCATGTAATTAGGCCCGCGGGACTGACATCGGGCCTAACACAGTAAGCCCGATTGTGATCCGGGCTGGGCTCGGGATTTGTCAAAAAAGCTCGGCCCGGCCCGATTCAACATTATATATTTTATAAAATATATAATATGTATTTTATATATTATATAAAATATATAAATAATATAATATTTATTAAAATATATATTTATAATTTAATATATACATTTTTTTATTATTTTCTTTATAATTTCTCTCTCTATATATTCAACAGCTTCAACAGTAGTAATAATATGGGCTAAATTTCAGGCTCGGGTCCAGGCCTGGGCTTCGGGCTTTTTATTAGGGCCGGGCTCGGGCTCGGGCCTTAGAAAAATCTGTTAATACAAAATGAAAGCCCAACCCGAGCCCGGCCCGGCCCGACCCATGAACAGGTCTAATTGCGAATATCTCCTTGCCGTTTATATTAGATGTTTCCCGTACAGTGGTGGTGCTTAGTGGGTAAAGATGTGGGTAATAGATTAATTAATTAACTATGAATTTTAAATAATTTAAATCTAACTAATGATAAAATACTAAATTATAAAAATTATTATTAAATAATTAATAATTAACAAAAAAGAAATAATTTAATAATTTATGAATAATTAGTTTTAAAATATTAAAATTATTAATTAAGTCATGGGTATTAATAAAATATAATATTAATAATATCTTATAAACAAAAAAATCTAAAGTATTAATTAATTAACTAACTATGGATTTTAAACAATTAAAACCTAGCTAATGAAAAAATACTAAATAATAAAAAATATTTATTAAATAATTAATAATTAAAAAAAGTTAATAATTAATTAACTAAGTAATTGATGAATAAATAAATCAGGATTTTATTATTGATCTAAGTAATGATTCAATTAAAAAATTAAATAATAAAAATAAAATTATTAATTAATTCATAGTAAATATTAATAAAATGAATTTTAAAGTATTAATTCTTAATTAATAATTAATTAGATAATTATTTGTCTTATTTAATTATAAAATTATTTCATTAAAATTTTAATAATTAACGATTGATAATAATATATAAAATAATAAAAATATTACCAATTAGTTAATTAATTAATAATTGTTACTAGGGTTTATTTTCCCCACCATTTTCCGTTTTGCAACCAAACAATAGAGCATGAAACATTTCCACCAAAATCTTCCCTGTGCCATCCCACCAAAATCTTCCCACACATCAAACACAACCTAAACTACTACAATGAAAAAAATGGAATGTTTTACATGTGTCTCATTACTAGGGGCGGAGCTAGCCCCCTTATGACCTAAAATCTTCACTTATATTAATGGAAGGTTGGCCCCCATTTATGTTTATTTGCCTCTCTTTCTTCGTGGTTAGTTGTTGGCGTTCCCAAATGACTCCACCCGTGTTTATTCATAGAGGTGTAAAACGGGTCCCTCCCTCCCTTGAGATATTTTGGGGGATCGGCTTGAGTTCATGCGGGCTCGTGTCATGTCATGAACCAGACTAGTTCGTGGGCTGAGCTGTGAGTCGGGTCAAAATTATTTATTTAATGTTATATAAATTTTGATGTATGCAATTGTTTACATAAATAATTAAATATAATAGTATAATAAAATTGAAAACAATTGTTTACATACATACGTACATTCATGGGATCGACTCATGTTGGGTCTGGGATACATGAGAGTTAGGCTTGGCCACTTGGACTCAACCTACATAAATTTTTGGGCCAGACCTAACTTGAGGACCAAAATCCAAGCCCAGCCTATATAAAATTGTAGACTATAACAATCGGGTTGGGCCTACCCAAAGTGCACCCTATTAGAGGGTCGCAAAATAGTGCTGCCATTTGGTTGTAGCAAATGTACTGGGTGTAAAACTATATATACGAGGATATATATACATGTACTCGGTGCCAAAGTTTACCAAAAAAAAAAAAAAAAAATTGGGAGTGCATGTAAAGATGGAAAAGTATGCATGTAATTGTTTTAGAAGATCAAAAAAGAGCATTCGGATGAAATTGATTTCATTAAAAATTCTTCTATATACCTAATTTGGTGTCGATGAGTCAGGAATAATTAGAGACAATGCTAGGTTATAAGTGCATTATATGTTTGCATCAAAGTATCGGGATACATGCAGGTGAATTGTTGTGTCATCTCTACCTGTATACTTGATGTACTTCGTTTCGTTTTCAGTAATTAGAATTATTTTACAGACAAAATAACATATTAGATTCACAAACTCTTTAGATATGTGTTCATTTTCTTTCAAATTAACCAAACGCAGCCTTAATTTCATCTATTCCGTTTTATTTCAAATTATAAGCAAAAACTAATTCATGATCCCCACAAATTGGGTGCTGTCTAGAGACAGTAAAGAATTTTAGAAGCTTTACAAGAGGCCACCCAAGCAACCAAATGACCTTAATAAAAATCCTGTTAAAGTAGAAAAACAATTATTTAAATTTGTGTTTCTTAGATTTATAATTTTGAATATTTAAATTCTTTGTACATATTTATGATTACTGATATATAGTTTTTGTTTTTGGGTCTTCTAATAACTAGCTAACAACTCATATATTGATATTAATGCTTGTTCACAGAGAGGAAAGATGAATACCCATGATGAGGAACTTCGCAGCTTTTTCAAAAAGACTCAAGTAAATGTGTTGCTTTGTAATCGAAAAGTTGCAGGAAAAGAGTATGGTCTCTTGAAGAAACAGGTTTGAATAAAATCGGAAGCCTTAGCTATACGTACCCCTAAGAGGTGTTCGTAGGGATTGCAATTTTCTAGTATGGGACATGGTGTTTTATAATCATATGAAAAATGTTTTCAAAACTGGATTCGAAGAACATGTTTTGGTTTCGGTTTTGAAAACAAAAAACACACAACCAAGAACCTATCTTTGGTGCTTTTATTTTAAGAAATAATCTGTTTTCAAACGAAAATAGTTATGATTTGTTTTTGAATTTAAAAGTCCAAAGTCCTCTTTTGTTTTCATAGTTTAGAAAACAATGTCACCCCTTGTTTTTGGGAGTGGAGCCCTCAACCAAGTGGAGACGCAATTATAAATGCAATGCCTGTTCTTATGAGGCAAAATTCCTGCAAATTTTCGACAAAAACAATTTATAGTTAATTACGAGGAATATGTAATTTCCACCTCTTCCTAACACACTAACAGTTATTGTACATATGACATATGATAATCATTCCAGTAACAACAGCTTCTAGTGCTCAGGGCTTTTTGTTAGGGGTCAAAAGCTAATAAATATGGATTAGGGGGCCAAAATTGTTAATGAATATAAATGTGGCCAGAAATATAAGGTAGATAATTGGAGTGTTTAAGAAATGCTTCACACGCTATGTATGTATTTGGTACTGTTTATGTTTATTGAATAAATGTTTGTACTTTATTTGTTGGTAAAACCGAGAAATGTAATAATTACAACCGGTTATGATAACTGGGTGCCACTTCAGCGTAAGTGAATAAATGTCTGGCCATTTGTGGAAGCTTCAAAAAATAACTTCTACAAATGGTTGACATGCACATAAACCAAAGTTCATTTTTTACATTTTCAATGTATGCAGAAGAGGAAGAGATAGAAAATGCTGAGATGACGCCTATGTGGCACCATCAATAAACGTTTACTGAACAAACGTAAACAGTACCAAACATCACCTATATCATGCAATTCTTTTTTTTATTATCAAATACAAGGTAGATTCAATGTTGTAGTTTTTTCTAATTAAATTATGTCAGATGAAAACTTGCACTGGATTGTTTTCAAAATTATGATATCAGGAAGCCGCTGCAATTTATACGCATCACCAGAAAATTTTAATTGTGGATTCTGATGCGGGTAATAACAAGAGAAAAATCATAGCTTTTATTGGGGGACTTGATTTAACTGAGGGGCGATATGATACTCCAAGCCATCCTTTATTTGGTACGCAGCAAACAGTGCATAGTGGTGACTTTCTCAACCCCAACTTCAAGGTAAACATACAAATTAACAAATGCTTATTTTTTTATATATTTATTATACGTTACAAACCATATTACACCACACATTTATAAAATTGCATGTTGGATCTGTGATATGTCGGCCTTTTTCTTCTTTGGAGAGGAAAAAGTGATTTTTCATTATGAACCTAGCTAGATAGATGGGGATTTCTGGAGAATAGTTCCCTTTCTTCTTGATAGCCTTTGGTCCTTTGCACAATGTTTTTTAATTTTTTTTTTTTTATTATAGGGTCATTTACTAAAACACCCCATATAGTTTTATAAATTTATCAAAACCTATCCTGTAGTTTGTGTTTTACTAAAATCATTCGAATAAATTTAGTTTGCAATCTATTTACTTAATCAATCTTTAATTAGATGAAAGTGGAAAATGACAATTTGAATCCTAATAATCATTCGAATAAATTTAATCAAAATAAACTAAAAATAACAAATGTCATTTTTGATCCTAGTAAAACATGGACAACCAGTCTATTTTCTCTATTTGGTCTATTTTGTTTTCTATACAAAAAAAGTGTTAGGGGTACTTTTGGAATAAACAACCATGGATCTATACCTTTGAACATTTTTCACTCAATTTAGGAGTATTTTTGGAATAAACAACCATGGGTCCATGCCCTACTATTTTTCAGATGGCAAAACAAAGAGTTCTTAATGAAAGGTCGATTAGATTGCAAACTATAAGTGGTGTATTAGTAAAATGCAAAGTATAGGGTAGGTTTAAGTAAATCTGTGAAATTATACGGGTATGAGATAATTTTCAAGTTTGAATTAGGAAACAACATGATTTTAAAGTTGGGGTAGGATTCATACACATCTACTTTTATGCTTATTTTCATACACTTCTAAGTACATGGGCTAGTTTGGACTATGGGTTGGGTTGAAAATTGCCACACCTATTAGACCTGCTTAGAGAGGGGGCTAAATAAATTTTAATTTAAAATAGCTAACTATATAACTGAATTATGAAACTCAATCATCTATAGTTTCAATAAAATGTACATACATACATTGTAAGGATAGAGTTTTAGATTTTTGGAAATGTTTTTACTAAAATATCCCTCGTTTTGAATTATAGTCATCATTCAATTCCTTTTTATTTAGTCTCACATTTAAGGTATTAATTTTCATTCTCTCTCATTGAATCATGTATATAAGGCATTTTTTTAGTTCTAATCACCACTAAATTCCACTAATAAAATTCATGCATAATAATTTTATTGGTAAAAAAACTTATATTTTAAAATCAACCTAGAAACAAAGTACATTTTTGCCTATATGATGGTAAGAAGTTAAATGATTTTAGGTCAAATGGACCAACCCATGGTGTCAATAATTAAACAATAAAAATTCAAAAATAAATAAAATATAAAAATATTAAAAATGAAAAAAGTTTCTAAAAAAATTTTAGGCACATCTTTAATATTATTTATTTGTCATATTTGTTCATGGCGGACCTGATAGATCTCCCATCTGATTTCTGATCGTAGTGAGAGAGCTGATGACAATTGTACCCCTAATTGTAGTGAGAGAGCTGATGACCGGCAGTGCAACCACGAAGCTCATAGTGGGTTTGACCTAGGTTGGTGACTGTTCTAGCGTGCAATGCAGTGCAGCAATGCATTGCGCAGCGCAAACCCCCGCCTGCACACCCTGCCCTTCAAGCCCGAAATATGATATTTTCCTTAATTTGCTTCTCCAATTTCCAGGTCATGATTCAAAGGGCACAATTCAATGAGCTTTCATTTAGGAATTAGGATGTTAGGCAACGAGAAACTGCCCATTTATCCTTGAAAGAAGCTTTATATCATCGCTAGCCGGGAAATCCAACAGCAGCTGCAATGAATTCTCTGGTGACTCATCCAGTTCGAGCAATCTGACCTAGTTGCAACCTCTTCCGCATCCGATTTTCTGTTTCCACATCGCAACCCTTCGAGTTGATCTGTAGTAAGTGCAACCACCATAGCTGTAGGTACCACCTTGATCCCCATTTCGTTGATGACGATGCCTAGGACTGAGGGCTTTGACATGCCAATGATTCTTGCCCGTTTACCCTCTGAAATGATTCCCCAATTTCAGAATTTCAAATGCGGAGAAAGTTATCAATAAAGAGTTTCTTAGAAGATGATGAATGATTTTAGAGTAACGATTCCCTTTTGACAGACGAGCCTCTGCTTCAAGCCTATCTCTCTCCCATTGTGCCATATGGCGCGTCAAAGGAGATGCGGATAGAGTGACTATAAGCCCAGAGGAAAGGGTGGGAGGAGCGTGCGTTTGCAGATCGAGACCCAAGGAGAGAAGGCGCTTCTACAAGTGGGTGTTTGAGAACAACTTGATATCGCTAGGATTTGCAGCGGACCCCCTTTCTCCTGTATCTTTTACTTTTTATCGGTGAAAGGTTATAAGGAGAAGAATGACTGATCAATACATGTCAGAATTTTTTTAACCCCGCAGTATAGGGGATGAATCCTAACCCTGAATTTTTTATAGAGTTACTTTCTTAGCTTGAAATTCCGAGTGCTCAAGGTAATGCGTCTTTATAATGTCCACATGAATCTTTACATTTGCTAATACCAACAAAAAAAAAAATATTTTTATCAGCCAAATTCTATTTAATGAAATTATATTCTTCTGACATAATTTTAATAGGTCTTACTGTAACAGTTAAAATTGGATTTGAAATCTTCTTCTTTCTTTATTATTGTTGTTGTTGTTATATTGAAATTATCACTTAAATGCACGCTCCCTCGTACTTTTAATTGGGTAAAATTTTCATATATTCATTATTTATTTATTTGATTTAATAGTTTGATGGTATCCCCTGAACAGGATTTTATTGATGGTTGTCCAAGACAACCTTGGCATGATCTGCACTGCAAAATTGAAGGTCCAGCAGCATATGACATTCTTGATAATTTTGAAGCACGTTGGCGAAAAGAATCAAGGCCCTTTGGAATTGAAAAATGTATTACAGTTGAAAGATTAAAACATCATCGCCATGATGCATTGCTTGATATACAAACTTTATCCGACATACTAGACGCTTCTAATTGTGTAAGTGAGGATGATCCCGAGTCTTCTTGGAATGTACAAGTAAGTGTTTCACTTAAAAGGCTGGTCCTAGTTTCTTAATTATATACATCATTTATTTGTTTTATGGGTTCATTCCTAAACATATCTCAAGGTTTTCCGTTCAATTGATTCGAATTCTGTGATAGACTTCCCAAAGGATGATCCAACTGAAGTTGAAGAAAAGGTGGGGGACATCCATATTTAGATCTTCCCACGTATTCAGTTGTCTATCAAATTTTTGTGCGTAATAAACTAACTAGTCGATTGTTTTTACAGAATCTAGTTTATGGGAAGAATGTAGTGATTGACATGAGCATACATTCTGCATATGTTACTGCCATTCGAGCAGCCCAGAATTTCATTTATATTGAGAATCAATATTTTATTGGGTCTTCCTACAATTGGACTTCACGCAACCAATCAGGTGCGCGCAACATGTAACTTTAATTTAAATGGATAAATGGATCATAATCTATGTCATGTGTGAAAGGATGGAGATTTTTCTTTGTTAGGTGTTAAAAGTAAGGGTAAATGAAATCTCTGTCGGAACCCCTGTTTAAGAATTCAATTGTTTCTCATTTCTTTATTTTGTTTAAACCTCTATTTGTTTGCAATTTGTATTAATACAAATGTATAGATATGTAAGTGAAAAAATTGTAAACGTACTTTGGTTTATTTTTACTTTATTTTGCTTTAGGTATAATCTTATTTTCATTCGTCTGCATTGTGAATCTAATTTCTATCTATCTATCTATCTTTCATATTTAGACACATGGTATTTTCTCAGAAGTTGCTGTTAAATCCCACATCCCACTACCACCATTTAGTGATGGTGGGAATTTTCTAGAAAGCTATACAGGTGGGAATTTTCCGAGAAGTTCCTGCTAAAGCCTATAACCCACTATCACTCCCCACCATTTAGACACATGACCTTCTCATTTTTTTGGATAATTAGACACGTGATATTTTCTGAGAAGTTGCTATTAAAGCCCACAATCCACTACTACCATTTTTTAATTAATTCCTAAAAAAATGCAAAAGTGGTTATCAACAACACTTCTCTACCTATATTCTATCAATCTTAATTAATCATTAACCCTCTACATATCATAACAAAAGAAAACTATTCATATTCTAATAATTATTAAAAACCTATTTTTTGAAATAAATATTTTTTAAAATTTTAATAATTATTTAAAATATTAATAAATATAAATTTAACAATATTGATTCCATAATGTAAATTTAATATTACTGATTCCCCGTATTTAGTACGGGGTCATTCACTAAGTAAACAAAACAAAATAAAACCCATATAACAATAAAAGCAAACTAAAATTTGGACTCAACTCCTTTATAGTCCCATACTTTTGCATCGGTAAACGAAATTGAACTGCAAACAAACAAAGCTTAAAAGTACTAATATCTTTTTTTTTGTTAAAGAATAATCTGCTTATTAGTTATCTCGATCTTCAAAAATCATGTATTTGTTTTTGATCCCATATTGTCCAGCTTTCAAGCCAACATGTTAGCTTGCAATATTGAAAGTTAATATGTTGGGAATGTTTCCCAATAAATGAACAAGTTAATTTCATTATCTACTTTTTATTCTGCATATAATCAAATAGTAATTTATTCTCTACACATAATAGCAATTTCTGTATAGGCGCCGACAATTTAATACCAATGGAAATTGCTCTCAAAATTGCCAACAAGATCAAAGAAAAGAAAAGATTTTCTGCATATATAGTTATTCCAATGTGGCCAGAGGGCGATCCAGCATCAAAAGCCGTACAAATGATGCTATATTTGCAGGTAAGCAGCTATCACAAACTCCAGGTTCGCAACATAGGATTATTTAATGTTTTATTAATTATTTTTTGGCTCCATTATTGGATTTTGAAGTGCATGTATACTAAGGTTTTTTAAAACTGGCAGGTCGAATAGCCCGATTGTCCGGTTTGAACGGAGGGCCTGTTCTCACTTAAAATATAAAATAAATAAATAAATAAATAAAATAAAGATTGCCAAAAATTATTGTTTGGGTTGATGAGTTGACGATTTGATCACCCGGTTCAGCAGTTTGTTGACCAAATCAATAGTTTTTGTCTAAAAGCGGTTTTAAGATGAAACAGAACTAATTACTTGACTGGTTCCTAAGTCAATCAGTCCAACAGTCTGGTCTGGTATGATTTTCAAAATCATGTATGTATATCTGCATGTTTAGGTGTTATTTGACACTTAGGCCTTGTTTGAGAACACTTAAAAGAAGTACTTCTTTTAAGAAATGAGACCACACATTAAGTGGTTTATAAGTACTTATGGGTGTTTGGTAAAAAAGTGAGGAAGAAGTAACTTTTTTTAAAGAAGTACTTTTTTGAAAAAGTGACTTCAAGTTGGCTTTTTTTAAGTACTTTTTGAAGTACTTCTCTAGAAAAATAGGACGAACTAGTCCTTAATAAATTTTTATAATGCCTAAAATACCCTGCACCCAAAAAGCACTGTTCATCATCTTCTTCCCCTTGACATCAACACAACATTTACTTTCATTCTTCCTCTCTCCTCTCTTACCCATCCTGATCATCCCCCTCTCTTCCCTAACGAGATAAAAGGAGATTTTCACCCCTGTTCATCGGCTTCTTGACGAGAATAGGGGAGTTGCAGTGGCAATAACCTTCCTCCTCTGATCTATTCTTCCTTTTTTATCCCTTTTCATCATTTTCTCTCTCTCCTTCCCATAGCTGCAAGGAATTGCAACAGTCTGTTCGAATAGCAGCAACATCCGTGCCATTCAAAAATAGGAATCCGATGTCATAAACCAATCAAAACTCTTCAGTTTTCAAAAGCGGGAATCAACTCCCCCTCTCTCTGTCATCTTCCCCTATTGATGATTAGTTATTATTCAAACAGGGGAACCATTGAAACTTGATGATGAGCAGATTGCAGAATTGAGGGAGATCTTTCGATCATTTGATCGGAACAATGATGGCAGCCTAACCTAGCTTGAGCTTTGGTCATTATAGAGATCACTTGGACTCAACCCGAGTTAGGATCAGCTCGACGCTTTAATCCAGAGGGCTAATATGAACAACAATGGTTTTATTGAATTCTCTGAATTTGTCGCCCTGGTGTCGTCGAAGATCCTCACTATGAAATCTCTGTACACAGAAGAGCAACTCCGACAGCTATTCCGGATGTTTGACCGTGATGGCAATGGATACATTACAATGGCAGAATTGGCCCATTCCATGGCTAAGCTTGGTCATGCCCTTACGACAACGGAATTGATAGGAATGATTAAGGAGGCTGACACTAATGGCGATGATCATATTAACTTCCAGGAATTCTCTTAAGCTATCACTGTTGCCGCTTTTGACAACTCATGGACTTGAAAGCATTTTTCGGAGAAAAATGTGGTTACGTGGACTTGCTTGATATCTAGCTATACCCATCAACACATGCCTGATGAAGCATGTGCTCTTTTGCGCTCGATGAGGCAGAAATGGGAATCTGAAAATTTTATGAAGGTTGTTGATGGGAGGAGCCTTTCTATTGTCCAATCTACAGTTATAGCGGTTCCGACAGTTCAGATGAAGAAAATGAGAGGGAGAGGGAGATATTTGAATAATCTACAGTGAAGGGTAAAATTGTCATTTGCGTCAATATAAGTACTTATAAGGAAAGTAGCTTACCAAACATCTCCATCCCAATAAGTGCTTAAAAACATGACAAGTGATTTGAAAAGTGGGTTACCAAACTGCCTTAAGTGATTGTTAAAATAAGTACTTCTTTTAACAAGTACTTAATCATCAAACAAGGCCTTAATTGGCATTTTGTTAATTTGAAGTCTCAAAAGTCTAGAAAGCAAAAAAAAAAAAAAAACCTTTGAAAATGCTCTATAAGAATTTAGAGTAAAATTTGCTTTTCCACTTTTACAAACATCTGAATATAGCGGGGTTGTTTGTTAATATGAAGGTTGTAACACATGAGAAATTTTCATTTGACAAATTTACCCCTCAGTCATTATTGAAATAAAAGTAAATGAAAAGGATTAAAGTAATAGGATATTATAAAAAATATTACAGAAATAATACAAAACATAAAATATGTTAAAAATCAATAAATAATACCAATAAAAATGAAAAGTAATATAAAAAATGAAAAACTAGTAAAAATTATTATAAATATAACCAAATGTAGAAAATAAAAGAATAATGGTGATAAAAATTGAATATATAAAACAAATCATTTAATGATAAAAATAATATAAAAATAGTAGGGATTATTTAAAAGAGATTGCTAAATAACAAAGTAACATAAAAAAGATAATATAGTAAAAAATTACTAGTATGATAATAAAAATTATCACAAAACAATAAATAGTAAAAATAATATAAAATAAAAAATGAAAAATATATATTAGTTAAAATTTTATAATTGTAATAAAAATGTAAAAAAGAAAATAATGGTAGTAATAAAAAAGTTAAAATATAAAGAAATGATATTATATTATTAAAATAATTTAAAATGAAAATAAAATATACTAAATAGATTTATAACTATTAAAAACTATTAAAAAGGTATGATAATAAAAAATGTAAATATAATAAAAATTGTAAACAAATATAATATATTTATAGAATGATATTATATTAGTCTTTATAAAAATAGTATAATATAGTAGTATATAAATTTTTTATTTTTAATAAAAATATAATTCCATTTTATTATTTCATATATAAACAATTTTATACATAAAAATTCATATAAAATAAAATTTAATATATATTTTCAATTTTTTGTCTATTTTGTTAATGTATTTTAAATTTTTAGTTTTTTTTTTCAAAATAAAAAATCCCTTTCATGGCTTGGCCCAAGGTTCCTGCGGTGTAGCACGGCTTGGCCCGGGCCTGCCTAGGCCCATGCGATGGGTCGTGTTGAGCTTGACCTATTAAGGATGTCGAAGGAGGCAGGCACAACCTACGTAGGCCCATAGGCCAACACAACATGACCTGCTAAAGTACGTGTGGCTCGCAAAGTCATATCGTGCTGGATTGGCACGACCTAATTTACACCTCTAACTTGTTGCATTCCATAATGGAAGAAAAATGATAAAGCCAAAAAGGGTTTTAAGATATGGTTGAGAGAAGACGAAGGTAATTTTGAAATTTTTGATTTTTTAAAGAGATGATGCATGAAAAATTATTTTGTGCACTACCTCTAAATGTGTTATGAGTTAGCTCACGATTTGAATAATTTGGAGCTACTTTCAGTTTTTGATGGCAACGTTTGGGGTTAACCAAACAATCACCGTGCACTGAAAAAGAAAAATTTTTAGCATTCGGTGCTACCAAACACCACCTTAGTTGCAACATCCACTCATCATCTTGATTCAGACATAGGCTTATTAGATGGTGAAAAATTTTATGGATTTTTAGACTGCACTCCACCTTAGAATTCTGATTTGAGCTGCATACCTACAACAATTCAAAGTTATAAACAACTCTACCTATAACACTCATACCCGCTTGTGAATTGGCATCAATTCTGAGCTGACACCTACCCCACCTATATGATGGAGCTAGGAATTCTAGGGGTGGACTCAACATTAAAACCCCCAAAATTTTAATAGGGAAAAGTACATGATGCTGCAAAAATATCATGACAATCAAACACTTGGGTGGTGTTTTGGTGTGTCTTTTTCTTAGCAGTTGTTGGTCTGTGATGGTCTTTTCTTGTTTGATATCACATAGATTAAAAGACCAAAAAAACCAAAAATTGAGAAGCTTCAGATGAAGCTTTTGGTCATTTTGCATTGAAAATAGCCTTTCCAGTTGTTTTTTCACAGCTTGGTAAACCATGACGCTTATCAAATAGTCTTGGTCTTCAAGGACAATACCCCTAAAAGCTTAGTGTGTTTTCTTATGTACTGGGTTGATGAAAGATCTACATAGAAACACTTGCCAAATAGATCCCTGATATCTTGAGTCCATGCGTGCATGAACTTTAAGTTTTTATATAATGCTTGAAGTTCGAGCTGATCTTTGGTTAGTCTTGTTATATATGACTAGTCATTTCCCATTTTGAAAAAGAATTTGAAGAGGATGTTGTATATAATACTGGAACAAGGTGGTTGATTAGTATTATTATACTCAAGGATTATATTACCGGTATCGAGTATCGTATCAAACAACTTAGATACAAATATGTTTTGGAAACACATGGATATGAATGAAAGACATGAAAACACTTGAATATGCTAGGGAAATGCATAAAAATCACATAAATACGTTAATAACAATAAAGCTAAAGCTGAATTAACTATGAATGAGGTATACATACCTGAAAAATGCACACTTTAATAGATTATATGAAAGAGAAACATTACGATCAACAATATCAGGATCTTAAAGTTGTACATATCATATAATAATTATCACTCTATTTCATTTTTTTTAATTATAGTTTTCAGTTCTTATTAATTATTTGAGAAAATTTATTTATATAGTATTTTATATAAATAATCTCTATATTTTAAAATAATAAATTTATTTTCATTTGTAACATACAATTGTTTATTTTACATATAGTTTTAAAATAAAGCATATGAATCATATAAGGTAGATAAAATAAATTATTTTTACAATTTTTAGTTTTTATTAAAATTTTGGGAAAAATTAACTCTTATATTATTAGGTTCAGATTTTATAATTGTAGTTTTTGATTTTTTATTATTTTTGTGGAAAGTTTGTAGTATTTTTATATAAATAATAAATCTATTTTATCAAACAATAAATATGTTTTCATTTTTAACATATAATTTATATGTGAAATAAATATTTAAATCATTTAAGGTAAATAAAATAAATTGTTTTTACAATTTTTAGTTCCTCTAAGATTTTTATGAAACATTAAATCTTAAAGCATGGTTTGCATATCAGACCTTATCCACCAATACAGTGCAGTACACACCAATACAATGGCGTATTGTGCTGGTATGCATGATGGTAGTATACACATAGAGTTGTCCCGTACCTGTACTAGTGAGCATGGATATGAATATGATACACCCCGCTTTGGGTGTATTGTATCAATATTAACCAGGATGATATAATCATGAGCATATACATTTGGATTCAAGAAAAGATCTAATTAATAACTTACGACTAGGGGAGTAAATGAATCGAATTCGAATCAAATCAGATCATTTGTTAAAACAAATTTTTTATTTATATAAAGTATATAAATATATAAATTATTTATATAATTTGAATATTATATGTATATAAATTATATAAAATATTTAAATAATTTATGTTTTATGTATTAGAATTAAATAATTGGTTGAATTTGAATATTATCGAATTGAATAAGATCATATTCAAATTTGATCCAATTGCTTAGATGATATCAATAGGATATCTGAATTCGAGTGATTATGATATTCAAATTATCCGGATTTGAATCTTGAAATATTTGTCAAAATATGCACTGATATATGAAATATGATTTCGACAGCTTGAAACAATGCGGATGATGTATAAGATGGTTTACGAGGCTTTGGAAAAAGCTGGACTGGAGAAGAAGTATACGCCGCAGGATTATTTGAACTTCTTTTGTCTTGGCAACCGTGAAGCGCTTGACCAGAAGGCTGCTTCTTCAAGCGGAGAAAGCCATGTCAAGGCACAGGAAAACACCCCTCAAGTTTGTAGATCCTTCCCTATCTAGCTTGAACTAATAAATAGAAAAATGGATTCTATTGCTACATTATTAATTAATTATTTAATAACAGTGAGATTGAGAATAGATAGTGCTCATTAATTTAATTCTCTTGTTGTTGTTGGTCACGATTAATGAAATATGTGGATGATGATGATCGAGCTGTGTCTCTATAGGAACGAACAAAAAGGAGTCGACGGTTCATGGTGTATGTTCATTCAAAGGGCATGATAGTAGATGATGAATATGTGATATTGGGGTCTGCAAACATCAATCAGCGCTCTATGGAGGGCAACAGAGATACTGAAATTGCCATTGGCGCTTTCCAGCCTAGCCACACCTGGGAAACAAAACAATCTGGTCCTCGTGGGCAGGTGTGTGATTATATTATCACTATTTCATCTGTCTATTTATCTATTTGTCTTAGGGGTACAATTTGGGCGGGCCTAGCCTGTGTTCGAATTGGCCCAATTCTGAATTTTATACGGGCTGGGTTTAGATTTTCGGTCCTCGGATTGGGTTCGGGCTCAAGAAGTTGTGTTTTTTTATTTTTTGGACTAGGTTCGGGTTTAGCCCTTAGGTAGACCGAATCCAGTCGGAGACCAATCCAATTATATACATTTATACATATATGTGTATATGTAAATTGTGCATACATATATATATATATATATATATATACACATATTTGTATATATAATTTTTGTATAGATATTTTGTATACATATTTACATACATACATACATACATAATTGTATTAATACATTTATATATGTATACTTTTAGTTGGATTCATTGACCAACCTGAGCCCGGCCCAGGCCTGAACCCAACCCAAGTGCATCAAATTACAGGGCAGGCTGGGCTCGGGTTGGGAAATCGGGCTTGACCTAGGGCCTTAAACGCAAATTTTAGGGCCGGGCCTGGGTTGACCATAAACCCGGCCCAACCCGCACGACTTGCACCCCTATATATATCTAAAATCTCATTTCTGCAGTTGGCAACTCCATAGATGACTTACTGTTGAGCCTGTTGTCTGCAATTAATGCGTATAGGTCTACGGGTACAGGATGTCACTGTGGGCAGAACACATGGGAAGGATGGAGGAATGCTTTGCTCATCCAGAGAGCCTTGATTGCACCAGACGTGTTAGGGAACTGGCGGAACAAAATTGGCAACAATATGCATCTGAGGAGGTAACAGATATGAGGGGACACCTTCTCAAGTACCCTGTCAAAGTTGAGAAAGGAAAGATTGAGCTTCTTGATGACTGCCTCACTTTCCCAGATCATATGCAGGCGAATATAAAGGGGAAGTTTGACAGTGCTCTGAAAAACCTAACCATTTGATGGTCTCATAATCAGTTTCAATTTATCATTCTGTGACTTCTTGCTGCTACTAAGTCCATTTGAATGTCATCTAGATATGAATTCTAAAACCCGTCATTTAAGCAAAAAGTAGGAGCTAGCTACTAAGGTCATTTGAATGTCATATTGTACTACTCTGAGGATTTGGTAGGAGCTAGCTAAGCAACACTTTCGACTATATATAATTTGTGGAATAACAGGTGCCTTGCTGTTTCATGGAGAAAATTTCAGCTTATAATCCCTTGCTGAGGTGAGTTCACATCTCCGCCCCACAATGTCCCACAGCACATCCCCGCTGTGTATTGGAAACATCTTCTGATGATAGTACTCGAGTCGATGATACAGGGATGTACTGTGGGACATTGTGGGGGCAGAGATGTGAACTCTGCTGAGGTGGCTAATATAAATCTTTGTTGTAGAGTAGGGATGCAACTTGTATGGGCTCGGGGTGGAAAATTGTGGTCTGGATGAGGTAGACACAAAGTTGTAAACACGTTTAATAAGCATTTAAAAATTTTTTTGACACCTGTCCTTTATAATACCATCCCCAGTTTTAAAAAAGATTAAGACCCACTTTTGACAGTTGTCAAAATATTTATCAAATACTCATTTAGTGTGCTTAGTTTGATGTACCAACCAAATCCAGTCTCAATTCCATTGTTAAAGTTTCTACGGACCCAGTGAAAGATGGGAGTGCAACCTCTCCAAATCAGGTACCCGACTTGCACCCTTGTTTCGATTCTCTCATGCACCCTCCATTCAGAAGTTTTTTTTTTTAATTTCAATTGGTAGTTTTAATATTTCTTGAAACTTGAAATTTTAATAATAATTTGTGGGTAGAAGATGGGAGCTCCCCTGTAAGTAACTAATAAGGGTGCAACTGCAACTTGGGTTGAAAATTGGTTAAATTTTGAATGGCTTGAATACAACCCAGAACCCAGTTGAAATTCTTTAATGTTAATTAATGTTAATACATCTGTTATAGCCTAATGAAAGTGTAGAACATGTGGAATTCATTAAGAATGCCAATTATCTAAGTCTGATCTAATTTGATTTGATTTCTTTAAAATTTATCAAATTATTAAAACGAAAAAAATAAAAAATAAATAAAAAATGGATCGGATTCCAATTTGCACCCTTCGAGTAGCACCAGACAAAGCAGTTCAGATTCCTTCCCATAACAACCCTATCTACACATCATCACAGCCGTACATTGAGAACATCTGATGTATCTGTATGTTATCAATCATGGGGATGTGGGTAGCATGGTAGGATAGGAGATCTGGATTTCATACAAAGATTCCAAATCACTGACCAACAACTTGACAGAGAAGTCAACAGGTACAAGTCAGGGCAGGGCTGTTTTGTCCAAACTGTCATATCTCTCGTTTACATTTATTTGGGGTCACTCCGTCACTCAGTTACCCGTCGGAGAAAGTAGTTAAGTCGATAACATAGTTCTCCGTCAGGGCGAGGAAATCCGAGTTCCCTCTGCTCTTTCGTCGCCTTCCCCCTTCTGTTTTCCTTCTTTGTTGGGTTATGGCATTATCGAGGTCACCGAAAACTTGACTAAGATGTCTTTGTCGTCCGAGTCTCCAAGTAATCTCTCAGACTCAAGCTTTGCTTCCTCTTTCCTCG